CAGGAAAATCGACGGGAGAAATTGTCCTTTTATTATAAATGTAATAAAAATTATATATTTCACAATTAAAAAATTTAATTTGAAAAACTTGAATAATTTTAATGAAAATTAATTTTACTTTTTCAAATTAATTATTTTTACCGTCAATAATCTAATATATAAATTTATTTTTAAATATTAAATTATGTTATCTTATCACCAAAAAATTATATCGTATATTTATGATAAATAATAATGAAATTAATGGTACCCGGGAAAGCGCCCGATCGCAAGCTTTAGTTTCGGCCCTGACGCACGAACGAATGAGCCAGCGAGACGGGTATATCCAGAGATAGACGGTTGAATTTTTTTCCGTGCACGCTCGCACTTTTTTTTCAATTACAGGGAAACCCTTTAAAATTTTTTATTGTTCTTGGAATCAATGGAAAACTTAGATTCCAAGGAATAATTATGTTAAAGGACAATTTTTTCCATCGATTTTCCTGGTCCATGCAAGAGGTTAAAGTCAAGATAGGAAATTAGGAAAAAATTACAATTATTTTTTTAACTTTGTAATATGTTATATTGAAATCTATTTAAGCAATCTCTTTCTAATAGACATTACTTTTTCCGAAATTTATGAAGCTTTCCAACGCTATAAAGAAAAAGTCTCTACGTTTATTTCTTTCTGAGTTACCCCTATTTTTATGCGAGTGAGATTAGAATATTTCAATTCCATATAATGCATTCAGTTTTGTTGAAAAATCTACTATTATTATTGACATTAGTTTAGTCTTTTGACAAACATATGTGGAGGAGATAATATGCGATAAAGTAGTCTGTTTTTTTTTTATTCAACCATGTGGGCGATGACTCAAGTCACTTTCATAATAGAATCGTATAAAAATTGTTTAAAATAACCTTCCGTTGTCTTGTGATTTTTATTAACTTCTCGTTTTTTTTCTGTACTCTATCAATTTTAATGTCTTCCTACTACTTGCACACTGCACGTAGACTCGTCAAATTGAAAAAAAATATTCTTTATCGAAAAAAAATTAATAATTTCTACAAGGTTTTTATTGTGAAAAATACTTTGTAATAAAAATTAATAACAAATTAATAGGGATAATAAAATACATAAGGGCAAAATTTGAAATTAAAGAAAATATTAAAAATAATTAGCAATAAATAATGAAAATAAAAAATTAATAATAATAAAGAAATACTTTAATATAATATGTAGGTCGATTTAATGATTTTAAAAAATGCGTTTACACATTAATGTTATAATCAGTTTAATTCTGTTGCATTTTCACAATAAACAAAAATTACCTCCTGAATACTATGCTAAAAAGAGAACTCGATAATTTCCCTACGCTTTAAATTTTATTAGTTAATTAACATGAATTAAACATTCCAATTACATGATTTTAATGAAGGCCAATTGTAATTATATAAGCACAAAGTTGAAAAATTGGAAACAATTTCAATGAAAATTTTTTTCAAAATTCTTTCCCAAAAAAAAAAAAAATGGATTTAATTGCAAAGACAAGGTGCATTTAAAAAAGAAACATTAATTTGATCCATAAAAAATATAACTCTTTTTATATTATCTTATATGAACATCGTAAGTTTATATAAAAACTCATTTCCAATTACGTCGCAAAACAACAATTACATATTTAATCACACATTAATTATTTTAAAATTTGACAACACCTTAAAAAAAAAAAAAATAATAATTCATATTTTATTTCCTGTTGTTTGCATGTGAATAAAATAGTTTTAATTTTTTCTATAAGTTGTTGTATATAATTGAGAAGGAAGAAAAAAATGTTTGTTTAAAAATTATTTTGTTTTTTGGAAACAAAAAAATTTCTTTGAATTGAAAATAATTTTGTGATTTTTTTTTTTGTTTTCAATAATTGTAAAAATAATATTATTGTGTTATAGTGCAATTGTATGGATGTTATCTGCGACCAATATAATATTGAAAGATTAATTTCCAATTCTGTTTATATTGTCAGAAAAAATGATATTATATAGTCCTTTGCATGTGATATGTGTTATTATCGTGATATTATTCCTCGTGACCGAGTGTTTCCCTCGTGCGAGAATACTGTTAATGCATATTAGCCCATCGATATATGAATGAGTTTATAATAAGAAGTTCAAACAGGTTCAACAACCCAAAGCTAATTCATATTTGATCTCATTTTAAAGGTGCATTCAAATAAAATATAGTCACGCGCTTTTATTAGTGATTTATAAAGATTTTCTCTGAAATTTATTTATTTCTGTTTCGATTTTTTAAATGCAATTTATTCATTAATTTTGTATATTCTATACTTTACAGATGAAAAAAATATATCAATATTTTTTTTTTCTTAATTTAAGAATATATTTTCATAAAAATATATTTCAAAATTTATGAATATATGATTTATAATATATTTGTATTGTAAAATTATTGTTTATACTAAATTTAAAAGTAAATTGCATTAGAAATATTATGCAATTTGTATAATTTTTTTCTATGTTATTTTTTTCTAAACAATTTCTCTGAAATCTTTTCACTTATGTGATTAACTTTTATACATCCTTGATGCGAACGATTGACGTACAAAGTACAAGAAGAAATCAAAAAGGCATTTAAGTATTATAATGGTTATTTTGATGAGTATCGGTTTTTTTCCTAAATGGAAAATCGTAAATGTCCAGAATCGTTGAATAATATTCTTAGAAAAATTGATTCACAATGAGTTAAAAAATGATTTGTTAGTTTTTTTTCGAATTTTATAATTTTTCTTTTTGTCTAAATTGATTGGAATGGTATAACTCAATATTTAATATTCTCAAATTTCCAAAAGATAAGTTAAATTTAACATTATATAAATTTTTCATTAAAAAATTTAAATAATATAAATTTTAGCATACATTTTTCACTATGAAAGACGAACAGAAAAATTACTGAACAAAAAAAAAAGTATAATAATAAAATGCTCATTTCAGTTTTGAGTATCTTTTTCTTTAGGTAATTAACGTAAATTAGTTTTCTTAGAGTTTATGACTTTATAAATATAGTCAAGTATATTCTTCTGAGTCAGCGACAAAAATAATAAAATGAGAGAAATTATTTTTCAAGTTAATATTTACTATTATTATTAGTTTTATTATTAGTAAATTATTAATATTATATTTTATAATTTCAAATTATTTACATTATTTTATTTGCGTAAAAATTAATCGAAAAAAATTAATTAATTAAGAAAAAAATGATTTCATTGTTTAAAACAGAGTTTTTTCAAATTTAAGAAAATTTTTGAAAACAAAATATTCGGAATTTTTTGTGGATGAGAAAAAAGTAACTTCCTGGATACTTGGCATAGATGCTGAAAATGACTTTCTATTTCACGGTCAAAAAAAGGTCCCGAAGTAGAAAAGAGGAAAGGTTGTTAAACTTGAATAAGAGGAAAGATTGAAAGGGCGATAATTTTGTTTTCTTATCGGTAATCTGAAAGTGTCTTTTCAAACTTATGGCCTTTTCCGAAAAGAAGCGACAGAATGGAAAATTCCAAAATCCATATAATAGTCACCAGAAAAATGATAAGTCTTTTTCTTCATCTTTTTTCGTGTTTACTAATTAAATTTAAAATGTTCAACATCATAAATGTGATACAAAAAAATGTTCTGTTTTTTTAAATTCAGAAAAAATTGCTACATAATTTTTAATAAATTCCGATATATATATATATTTTTTTTTTAAATTAATATTTAGTTTTTTAAATGGATCAGAAAATATGAATTTTAATTCCTAGAAAAAAAGTTTCTTATTTTTTAATTAATTCAAAATAAAAATTTATTAAGCGAAATAATTAAAAGATTGTTATACCTAGTCTTAGAAACTTGACTCACTGAATTTCAAAATGAAGTATTTATTATTTTTCAAGAACTACTGATGGGAAAGTGAGGTAATGAATTGACAAAAAAAGAAAAAAGTATAAAAAACAGGTTTATTTTGAAATTAAGAATTTATTTTTTGTTCCTGTTTTTTAGAAAATATTAGTATTCTTAAATTGAAATTTCTAATCACATTTACTTAATTGTTTATTTAATTGCGTAATTAAATAAAATAGGATTCAATTTACGAATATTCCAATTGTATAAATAAAATAATCTACATATTTTAAGAATATCAAATATGAATAAATAAATAATAAAAAATAATGTATTGTATATTAAATTGTACTATAGAAATCATGTTTGCAAATAAAATTTTTTTAAATCTATTTATTACATTTTGGTACATTGCTCCTCATTTTCCCTACTGCTTTCAGTATTTTTTATTCAAAATTTTTATTCACTTTTTATTTCAGTGACTTATTTTTTATATTCGTTTTGAAAACAACTATTGTTAAATTTTCCATTGTTAAAAAAATAATAATGATAATATTTAACAATTTGTTTCTCTCAATTTATTATTGTTATTAATTTTTTTAATACATTTTGACAGTTAACAAAAAAAAATTTAATCAAAAGTAAAATTGAAAAAAATTTATTCAGGTTAAAAGTTATTAATTCTAATTAAGGATTTTTTGGAAAATTGTTCTAAATTGTTAAAAATGAAAGTGAAGTGTGAATTTTTCGAAAATTGCAAAAGAAATCGCCTAGTTGAATATGCGTGGAAATTATCAGGTGCTCCAGGACCCTAGGTCGTGGATGCTGCAAGTTAGTAAATCACGAGTTCATTTAATCTCATCCCCTACCCTCATCTTATTTATTAAAAAAAAAAAAAAAATGAAAAAAATTTCGCGTGTTTCAAAGACTTGAGCAACGTTATATTATAGATAAGAAAGGAAGGAAGGGAGAGAGAGAGAGAGCTTACAAATAATGATGATTTGCGTTCTAAAGCAAAAGCACGTGCTCAGCCACCTTTTTCTCTCTCGTGGTCTTTCTCACTCCCGACAAACAATCTTGCATCCTGGTCCCACACAATCTGGGTCGTTAGCATAAGAACACCAAGTGCTTCAGCTCAGCTGTTAGTATACGCACTCTCACTCCAATCGTCGTACCACACTGATCGTTTAGCTTTGCTCACTCATCCGTTTATTATTCTCTTTCTCTCTCTCGGTATCAAATTGCATAACAAGGCACGCGACACGCTACTACCGGTGGGAAATCGCGAGTTTCAAACTTTTTCAAGTACACATAATTTTCTTTTAAAACAAACAAAAACGGATTTTTCATTTAAAAAAAAAAAAAATTTTTCGAAAATTCAAATTAAAAGCCAAATTTAAATTAAATAAAAAAAAAACAAAAGTTTAAGGTAATACACATCTATATTAATATAAGTTTAATAAATTTTTTTGTGAAAAGTTAATTAATCGAAAATGTAAAATAAAAAAAAAAAATTTCAATAAATGTAAAAACGAAAATTTTTTTATTTTTTAAGAAAACACAAAAAAAAAGAAATTATTCACAAAGTGAAAGAACAGAAAGCAAAATCAGTAAAATGCAATAAAAGTAAAAGAATATAAAAAGTGTTTTTTTGTAATAAAATAGGTGTTTGTTTATAAATTCATAAATATATTTATTTATATAAATATAAATTTATAAATATTAAAAAAAAAAATTATAAACTTTTGATATATAAAAAAGGCAAATAAGCATCAGATGAAAGTATTGAAATTGAAGATATTGAGGAAGAAAAAATTTTTTTCTTTCGCAGACGGAACATCGGCGTATCTCAAATTGACAATGGGGACTTCTTCATTGATAGTGGACTATTTGGTTTTTGTGGCCTTCATTGCGGTCTCATTTGTAATACCCTTGTGGGGTAGATTTCGTGCGAGGAAAAAAGAGACGAAAGCTGATTACGTTTTTGCCACGGGAACAGTTTCAATGGGGGCGATGATGTTGTCGATTGCGAGAGGAACCCTTGGCGTAAGATCATTTTTGGGTTATCCTTCGGAACTTTATTTTAAAGGCAGTGCCATGTGGGAAACTCTATTTGGAATGCTTCTTGCTTATCCAATAGTCTGCTTTGTCTTTGTTCCCGTTTATTATAGTCTGGGAATCACATCCGTTTATCAGTATTTAGATATGAGGTGAGTAAAGTGTAACATTAATTTTTATTTAGTTTAAAAAAAAGAAGTAAATTACAATCTATAGATTATAACTGTTTTGAATTTCTTAAAATTTACGTTTTTATGACTAATTGAAAAAATTCAATCAAATAAGAATATTAATATTAGGGGAATATACTCAGGGTTGGACACCGTTTTGAACTTTGTTTATAATCATTTTTAAAAATATAAATTTAGTCAATTAAGTTATATTGTTAGAAAGATGTACAAAAGAGGAACACTTTTGTTGAAGATCGTAAATTGATTGGTCTAAAATTAAAAAAGTTCTGATCATTTTAAAGAAAAGAAAAATCTAGTCAAGGTTGGATATTACTCAGAGTTGAACACTTTGTGAAAATCGAAGCGAATTATGGTTTAAAAAAATAACATTTATAACGTTACTGAAAAAGTTTTTTATGTTAATTTTTTCATTTTTTATTTATTATTTTATTATTTATAACGTTACTTTAAACGATTTTTAAGTTCATTTTTAACGTTATTATTTTTTTTCTAATATCTTTGGCAGAATATGTGCTGTGTGTGTGAATCAATGTTTATTTGTATATTTACTTATAAATTGTGTCAGATTCATAATTAACAAAGTGTCCAACCCTAAGGAGAACTAACATTTTCGAATTGTGCTAACCATAACCAGACATGTTTCGAAATTCGATTTTTCACTTCATTTTTTCTTCAATCATGAACCCCACAATACATGCGCAATAAACTTACCTTGCCGATTTTTTGTTTTCTTTATTCATTTTTTATGTTTAATCACATCGCTCACAAAACTTTTTTCATTCCTACAAATGCACCGACGTGACAGCAGACGCTACTTTTGATCCTCCAAAAATGTAATGGCACAAAAAGTTAGGTTTCACTACGAGAAGCTTTGCCACGTCCGTGCATAGATGGCGCTAGTTTTTTATTTTAAGAAAAGAGAAGTGCCCAACCATGAGTATATTCCCATATATGTAATTAAATAACACTCAGAAAAAAGAATTGTTGTGGTTACTAAAAATTAAGTCCACACAACAATTCCGGATTGTTAATATGTATAGAACCAGCAGTTCTATTTGTTTTTGAGACAAAAAAAATTGTTAAAATGGGATTGTTATTAAAACTATTCGGATTGTTCGGTGAAAAAACAGAATTGTTTGATGAACAAAGAAAATTGTGGTGAAACAGTTGAATTAACCTTTTAGCTGCGGGAAAATTTTAGTACAAATTGACCTGTCATAAAATACAAAATTTATACATAAATTAACTGGATATATCAGGTAGAGTCCCCGACCTGATTGCTGGTCGATATATCGACCACCCCCGCAGTCAAAAAAAATGTGCAATAAAAAAAACCGAATCCGGCTAAAAATAGATACTCGGGGGTTTTCGGGGTCGCTGATTACGAATCTGATGTTAGTTTTTCAAAATTGAATTTTGTCTAGAAACATTAAATATGTTGTGTTTCTTGAGTGGTCGATATATCGACCAATCCCGCAGCTTAAAGGTTAACAAAACTAAATTGTTAAATCGTCAATACAATTTGTTGTATTAAAACAGCTTTGATCCGTCTAATATAATTTGTTCAGTTTCTTCGCCTTCTAAAATAATCAATAGCATTAAAATTTGTGGAACATGCAGCTTCTGAATCAAATTCTTTGTTTTGTTTGTTGAACAAATCCGGATTGTTCCATCAACAATCGACAAAGAGTTTGCTTCTGCAACTGTACGGAATTGCAATCTAAACAAAACTGACAACAAAAAATTCGTAATGTTGTTAAAACAACATACATTTGTATTGACAACAATCCGAATTGTAATTTTAACATTTCGAATTGTAATATCAACAAATATACTGACAACAATCCAAAGATTGTTTACACAACAATCCCATTTTTCTCCGTGAATTCCTTTTCAATTGAGAGAAAAAGAACAAGAATAGGATCAACATTTCTCAAACGGATCATCTAAAATTAACAAATTTAATTTTCAATATTAAATAGTTTTTTTACTCCCATTGTGATAAAAATAATTTTCTGAAAATATTAGAAGAAAAAAAATTTTTTTGTTAAAATTACAAACAATTAAAATTTTTTAGCTGTTGTTAAAAATTAATTACTTTTTGAAAATTTTAGGTGATCCGTTTCAGAAATTCTGACCCAATAAATGAAATTATGTATTTATAAAAAATCTATAAGCAAAGTAACAAAAAAATACATAAATAAAAAATTTAAGAGCATTTGAACCTTCGTGACGTCACAAATCATGGCGCATGACACGCAAACTTCTCAGGTATGTGAAAAGCACAATTTTGAATATTTTTTAAAAAAACCTTTTGGAAAATGTTCAGAATAACATAGACTCTGTCTGTTATGTGCGGAAAATTCAAAATTTTGCGTTTAAAACGTTTTTTAAACAATGTTAAGGTCACAAATCATGGCGCATGACACGCAAACTTCTCAGGTATGTGAAAAACACAATTTTGAATATTTTTTAAAAAAACCTTTTGGAAAATGTTTAGAATAACATAGACTCTGTCTGTTATGTGCGAAAAATTCAAAATTTTGCGTATAAAACGTTTTTTAAACAATGTTTAAGTTGGTTGTCACAAGTAAGGAAAAAAACACGAATTGCTTATATGTAGGCATTGTTTAAAAAACGTTTTAAACGCAAAATTTTGAATTTTCCGCACATAACAGACATAGTCTATGTTTCTCTAAACATTTTCCAAAAGGTTTTTTTTAAAAAATATTCAAAATTGTGTTTTTCACATACCTGAGAAGTTTGCGTGTCATGCGCCATGATTTGTGACCTTAACATTGTTTAAAAAACGTTTTAAACGCAAAATTTTGAATTTTCCGCACATAACAGACATAGTCTATGTTTCTCTAAACATTTTCCAAAAGGTTTTTTTAAAAAATATTCAAAATTGTGCTTTTCACATACCTGAGAAGTTTGCGTGTCATGCGCCATGATTTGTGACGTCACGAAGGTTCAAATGCTCTTAACAATATAATTTGAAACAGATTTGTCAAAATTATATACGATTTTTAACACAAAACCTTGAATGAAATTTTTTTTTGAACTTGTGTCAGTGATTTTAAATTTATCTCACGAGCCCAAAAGTAATATAATGTTGGAAACATAAATATATTCACTAAGATAATTTGCATAACTATTAAAATGAATTTAATGGTCAAGTGTAATGATCTATAAAAATTACGACTTAATTTCTATGTTAAATATTCATTTTGTTCCAAAACTGATAGTAATTATACGTTTTAGAAATTAATTTCAATATTTTGCGTTTGGGTGGTTGGGGGGGGGGGGGATGACAAAAATTTTAAAATTGTTTTGACATATTTTTTTTGTTTGGAAAAAATGGTGACATAAATTTCTACTATAATAATAAAAAACTATGGAATTTTTCCTTTTTATCGAAAAGTAAATTGAGTTATAACTAAATTGAATTACATTTTTTTTTTGTTAAACGTTTTTCTTTTTTTTTTTTAATTTAAAGTGAAAATTTAACGTATTTTTTTTAAATTTTCAATAAAATTTTTCGTTGCATTTAATATATATGAAATTTGACCAGGATTTCGAATGACCATTTGAAATTCCATATATTTTTCCAGTTAGATGTAAATCAAGTAGAGTATTGAATGCGCTTTGTTAAATTAGAGATCAACACAAAAGCTTTCCGTTTGTGATTTTGATTTATCATATGGTTCTCTTAATAAAATGATCACTATTATTTCGAAAACTAAAAATAATTCGTTTAACTCAAAAAAAGGTTTAGATATAAATAGACATTTATTTTTTTAATAAAATTTTTTATAAATTTTGTTTTTTAATTTTATTTATTTAAATTAACTAAAACATTAATTTGAAAAATCAAAGAAAAAAACAATTTTTGATAATATCAAAGACTATGTTTTCCAGTATATATTACTTTGCTCTTTTCATTATATTATTTTTCTTTATAGTCATCAGTCTTATTAATATTTTATTTTCATTCTTCTCGTAGAAAATTGTTTTTTTTTTTTATTAGTTAGTGGAATAATTTTTTATTTTTATAAAGAAGAAATGTCTCCTTTTTGTATTATTATCTATATTTTAATTATCATCAATGACTTTTTCCTCTAATCATCCGTTATATATTTTAATTTACAACTGTATATTGCTGATAAAATAAAACACTTCCGCAAAAAAAAAGTGACATTACAATAATCTATATTTCACATTCAAAGGTTTTCTGATAGATAAAAATTTATTTTTTACAAGGAGAATGAAAAAACTTATTATTATAAATAAACAATAATAGAAAAAAAAATAAATTAATATTGTCTAATTAACATTAGTATATATAAATTATCTTTTTAATTTAAAATAGAAATACAATTTTTATTGATTTAGTTAAATTTTTATTTTCAGATTTAATTCGAAATTGGTGCGTTGTCTTGCGAGTTTTTCATACGTTATTAGAAGTTTATTAAATCTCTCAGTTATAGTATTCACACCATGTGTTGCATTGTATACTTTGATAGGCTTGCCATATTGGGCTAGTATTATTGGTATAACTTCGATATCCGTTGCCTTCACTTTAATGGTGAGTTTAAAAGCAAAATATCCATTTAAATTTGATTAATAATCGTTATCACTCATTCAAAATTAATATAGTGTTCATATTCATTGCACAGTTATTAAATAAAATTCTAAATGCCGTCAATGATATATTCAAAATAATATATATAGTCATACATAGGACATCATAAGTCAATTTTATGATTTAATGTCTATATAAAATTTTTAACATCTTTAAGAGTTCATATAATACTATCCAAAGAAAGATCTTCCTTATTTGTTTAATAACAAGTTTTTCTCTATTTAAAAAATATTTTTAATATTTTTAAATTATAAAAAATAAAATTTTTTAATTTTTATACATATTGGAATAATTAAAAATTTTCTAAACATAATTTTTATTTTCATTTCTTAAAAAAGGGTGGCTTGAAAGCTGCCATAACGTCTGATGTTATCCAAGGACTGACAATGATTGTTGTCTCGATTGTAATTGTTATTCATGGGACTATTGATGTTGGAGGTGTAGGAACTGTGTTTAATATAACCAAAGAACGAGGACGTCTCAATTTTTTTAAGTAAGCTTTAAATTTCTTTTCTAAAACAAAAAAAAAATACGTTTTCAATTATCAAATTCTATTATTTTTTTTTTTTAACAAAAATAAACTGATTTTTATTTTTATAGTAAATTTTTTACTGTTGCTATTGAAGAGAAATTAAACATTTTTCAAAAGAATGAATTAAATATAAATAAAATAAAAATAATTGAATAAATCAATGAAATTAAATCAGGAAGTCATTATATATACTTATCTCAAATGCTTTTTGAATTGTAGCTTTGACATGGATCCAACAATTCGAGTTACGACAGTTTCAGCAACACTTGGGCAGCTTTTCATGAGCTTGTCAATCTTTGGATGTCAACAAAATTTTGTTCAAAGATACTGCAGTATGAGTAGTCGTGGCAAGGTTGTCAGGTACATATATATTTAAATACTTATATGCAAGAATTATATAAATAGCTTATGCTAATTGTCTTTTTAAGATCCTATTGTTTACTCATTTTCATTCATATCCATTAATCATTGTTTTTTTTCCACATTATTCAATGAATTTACATCGTTTAATTATATTTCTGAAATTTATATAAAATTCATTCTATAAAAATATATAGGATCTTATTTTAATGTTGTAAAAAAATTCCATTGGCTTAAAACAAAAGTGTTCCAAAATTACATTCGCAAGTAAATTTTCTGAATATATATCTTCAATGAAAATTGACATACATATATGAATATTGTAATAGCAATAATTGATTTTTTGGAAAATTTTCTATATTTATTGAACATTTGAAACTTAAGGAACATTTCGTTGTTTTATTTTTCATTATATATATATACACATCAATCTTAAAATAAAATGAATGATGTAACCTTTTTCTCTTGTTGATATTCGTCTGTGAATGTTTTCATTTTATTCTTGATGCAATGCCAAATGAAATTTCGAAAAATTTTTATACATTCACAACTTTTCTATTCATGACACGTTGTACTATTCATCAATTTCATTCTATCATCATCTACCAGAGATAAAACAGTTTGTTGATAAAATCAACTTTTGCCTGAGTAAAGCTTACAAAAATATATGAATTTTGAAAAATTCTCTATGACTAAAATTGTATTTTACTACTGAAATTAAAAATATTAAAAATTTGGAAATTCTGACTGGAACTGATTTCTACATTGCAAAAATTAAAAATTAAAATTGACTTAACGATACCAAAATTTAATTTAGAATGTCTGATTGTAAGTTACATGTACCACTGATTAAAAAATTAGGAGAGTTGTAACAGTTTGACTGAAAGGCACTATTATTACTAAAACTAAAATTACAAGAATTCAGAGAATTTTTGTCTGACTAAAACGTACTTTTTCCACTGAAATTATAATCATATAAGAATCCAGACGAGTTGTATGATCGAAACTGACTTTTACTACTGATATTAAAATTGCACAAATTTTTGTCTATTTTGAAACTAACTTTCACTACTGAATCACAGTAAACTTGGTTGTATCTTTTTCTATTGCAACGTTTTGATGCACATAAGTTATATCAAAAAGAGATCGTTTTGTGTATCATTTTTAGAAATGATACACGAAACGGTCTCATTTTTTGATGCAAAAAATTTAATCAATTTATATCAATCATGGCCGAATTGAATCGACTCAAAATTAAACGAATTTTTTTCAGATATTTTGGTAATAGTACAATTGCGGAGACCATTTCACTATTTAATTTCAAAATGAAAATAACAGAAAATCAAAGCTTATAAACATAACCTAAAATGCATGAGAAAAAATTTGTCGATAAAATCAATATAGCCGAGCTTTTTAGAAGGTAGATGGCAGCACTCATCTATTTTCTTTCTTTAAATGTTTTCTGAATCGTTTTTATAAAAAGCAAAACTGCCATCTACCTTCTAAAAAGCTCGGCTATATTGATTTTATCGACAAATTTTTTCTCATGCATTTTAGGTTATGTTTATAAGCTGTCACTTTTTAATTATCGAATTGCACATTGTCTTTGATTTTCTGTTATTTTCATTTTCAAATTAAATAGTGAAATGGTCTCCGCAATTGTACTATTACCAAAATATCTGAAAAAAATTCGTTTAATTTTATATAACTTATGTGCATCAAAACGTTTGAAAGATTTGATGCAATTTTTGGTCTCAATTTGATACTTTTAGGAAAACTGTGAAACTAAAAATAAAATAATTCAGGAAATGAAAATGTTTTTTTATTACTGTTGTCAAAATTAGTTTGACTGAAACTAAATTTTACTACTGATTCAAATAGTTTATCGAAATAAACTTATGTGTTCCCCAAACTAAAATACTGATGATTAACTCAAAAAATCCTAATGAATATAATATATTGTTTATTGATTTCAATGATTCTATTTATATAAAAAATAATCTAAATTTTAAAAATATTTTCTTGTGCCTAAAAGAAAAAATAAATGGAAAATAAATTTTCTCAATTTCAGAACAATGATTTCAAACATGCCAGTGATAACGGTTCTCTTCTCACTGTCATGGATCGTTGGAATGGTAATTTTCGCCAACTACGCAGACTGTGATCCATACACAAAAGGTTTAATATCAAAAATTGATGAAATTGTACCATTTTACGTTGAAGATCGATTTGTTTATTTACCCGGTGTTGTGGGTCTTGTTATGGCAACATTATTCAATAGTGCATTAACATTGGCCGTGTCAAATCTTCAATCGCTCGCAACAGTCACATATGAAGATTTTCTCAGTCAAATGCGCATATGCAGCAATCTAAAGGATACACAACAACTTCATTTAATTAAAATGATTGGCGTAATTTATGGAGTATTGATAATTGGCGCCAGTTTTCTCGTGGGAATGTTACCTGGTGTCATTGAATCATCAATGCTAATGACCTCGGCGACGTCTGGTCCACTATTGGGAGTTTTCGTATTGGCAATGCTTGTTCCTTGTGCAAACTGGAAGGGCGCTGCCACTGGTATGATTTTCAGTCACATTAGCACACTATGGTTAACATTTGGACGTCTAATGTTAAATCCCCCAGTTGAAAATTTACCCCTCTCAGTGGATGGTTGTCGTAATGACACGTTCTCAGCGCATGTAATGAAACCCATCAATCCATGGTTGGAAGAAGCGCAAAATGAAATAGTTGAAGAGGTCACCAAGTCACCGCTCGACTACGTCTATGGAATAACTTATATGTATTATGCTCTCATCGGAAGTCTGACCACTGTTCTTGTTGGCATTATCATTAGTCTGCTCACGGCTGATCCTAAAGGCGACGTATACGAGGAGCATTTATTGCATCCACTTGCATTAAAGCTCTCAAAATTATTTCCTGGCAGACCTAGAATCTATTCCGGAAGTACGCGTCTTGGAGATGAAGCCAACAGTGCCAAAGGCGAAACAACGTCCGTGACTTCTATCGCCAATGCAAATGGAAAATCTAAAACGGAAATTAAAGAGAAATGCAAAAATTCTGAAGATTTGTATATTGAGAAACTTGATGCACTCAAGAGAGTCTCTTTACAAGTCACCAATGAAATCTCCAAAGGCACAAGACTTTAAGGATGTATGTTTATTTTTTTTTTTTTTTATATATATTTTAAATAGCGAAGAAAATGACTTTTTACGATTCCTTTTTTTTAAAGGCAGATCTATTGAAATTGTTTTTTTTTTTTTTTTTTTATTTGTACATTATTAAGTGTGATGATGAAATTTCAAATGACATTGTGGGAGTGATTTAGGAATTTTTTAAAGCATTTTGTGTGATATTAAAGTAGTTTGTTTGACGTCTTCAGAAAAGATTGACAGAAGATTTTGTGATTTTGATTTTGTGGTACGTCTTCAAGAAATATTTGAGATTATCTTTAATAAATAACAAAAATAATTTTAGGAAACTTTTTTTTGTGAAAATTGAAGATATTTAATGAAAAAGCTAAGTGCATTTATCATACTAACAATAAGTCATTGTAAGTCTATTTTCAGTATTTATGTTCTAAAATATTTATTATCAAATCTAGTTCCATAGTTTTAAAAATTTTTTTTAGAAAATTTAAAAGAAATTTTTTTTTGAAATATCTTCATGAATTGTTCTTGAATATCTTTAAAATATTTTTGTTAATATAATTAAATATAAATTAACAAGTTTCTTTAAATATATTTAATACATTTTTTTTTATATTCAATAAATTGTGTTTAATGTTTTTAACAAAATATCCTGTTTGTATTAAGTGAAAGAGTTTAAACTGTTAAAAATTTCATATAGCACTTGGTACAAATGATTTAAAATTTTTAAAACCTTATACTTCAAATTTTCTATTCAACCTCAGAAAACAAAAACCAAAATTACGAGTTTCACAAAAATCTAACAATTAAGAAAAAACCCCGCACTATATACATGGGAATTCGGGGTCGGTGAAATTTCTTGCAACTTTGTAATTTTGTAGTTATTGACCTTCTGAAGAAAAAAAATTTAAATAGCAAAATTTAAAAAAATGGACAGATTTTTTAAAAATTAAGGTTTAAGTTTAAAAATAGTGTTAAAGGCGAAAAAAATTCAAAAATTAGTAAAACCAAAAGAACTAAATAAACTTTTTTAAAACTCGTTACTCAGGGGTTTTCGGGGTCGCTGATTACTAATTTGATGTCAATTTTTAAAAATCCAAAATAGCGGATCCAAAATGTCCGACCAATTTTTTTTTAAAATGCATCAAATTGACTTGAATCTCGTTACTCGGGGGTTTTCTGGGTTGCTGATTCACTTAAAACTTGGTACTTGACGACTTTTTAAGCCTCAGTGAAAATTGACATCGAATTCATAATCAGCGACCCCGAAAACCCCCGATTAACGAGTTTTAAAAATGTTTATTTAGTTCTTTTGGTTTTACTAATTTTTGAATTTTTTTCGCTTTTAACACTATTTTTAAACTTAAACCTTAATTTTTAAAAAATCTGTCCATTTTTTTAAATTTTGCTATTTAAATTTTTTTTCTTCAGAAGGTCAATAACTACAAAATTACAAAGTTGCAAAAAATTTCACCGGACCCCAAATTCTCATGTATATGATGCAGGGTTCTTTGACTAAAATATTGAATTTGGTGACATTAAAATTTCTTGAATATTTATATTAAATAGTTTTCAAATATTTTGAAAAAATTTTCCATAAACTTTCTGCAGAGTTTCATATATATTTTTAGCACATTTGGTAAAAAAATATTCGTGAAATTTTCATGAAAATTAATAGCTAACTACAACGGTAATCTTCAACAAAGTTTGCTGAATAAATTTAGTAATTTATTAAAATACTTCTATTTTTAATTAGCTTCATTGCTTTTAGATAAGTTCAAAGTATTTCTATCCAAATTTTTTCAATATCTTCATCAATCTTTATACATTACTTCAACAATTTTTTTTGTGTGAATATTCTTTATAATTTTTTTTTTTTTTTAATAACAACAATAAAACTTTCTTAAATATTGACAACAGTTTTTCTTGAATAACTGCAACAAACTTTCTTGTATATTAGCTAAATTTTATCATAAAATATGTTCAGAAATATTTCTTAAATATCTTCAATGATTTTTCTCAAGTATTTTCAAAAAAAATTTTTTCAATATTTTCAGCAATCTTTCTTGAATTTAAAAAAAGAGAAATCTTCAACAAACTAGTTCAACAATTTTAAATAATTTTTCTTAAATATCTTCAACGAATTTTCTTGAATTTTAACAAAAAAAATTTTCTTGAATATTTCCAACAACTTTTCATGATATAAATATTTGTTAATTATTTTAAAATAACTAAATAATCAAATTGCTGACGTTTCTTGAATATCATTAGTGAACATATTATGCAAAATCTTGGAAGAAAAAAAAAAAAAAAGGTAATTCTTGTTAACTTTTTTTGAAGATAGGACTTTTTGAGTGACAGTGGATTCATATAATGTAAACGGAGACAATTCCGTTTCGAGAGGAGATAAGTTGTACATCTCCTTCGTCAGCATGACATATCTCGTGGTGCTTGGTTAAAGAAAAACAAACTGACGATCCGGACGGAAAACCCCGTAGAGGCAACGAAAGAGCTTTTTATTCAGTTTTCTTGTCTCAAGTGATCGTAGTACTTTTAGGATGTAACGAAAGTTCTATATATAGAGGAGAATGAAAAGACTCGAGAAAATCATAGTTTTCTTGCTTCCTTTGTCTAGCACTTTTTTTTTCATTATGAGGAAAAAAAAGTATATACGTTTAGATTTATAAATTATTAACATAAATATTGTAAATAGTTATCAATAAGAAATTTGTTATTTTTAATGTAAATCTTACATATATATATATAGATAATAATTATATGAGGAGTTAATTAGATGCAAGACTTTGACACATATACAAAAAACTATTTTCTTAAAATATTTTTTATGGCCCGTGTGATGTTGAGTGGGGTTTGAAGATGTGAAATACTCAAAAAAAAAAAAAAAAAAAACACTGGTCCGAGCAGGTTCTCGTGCTTCAAGGTGAACAAAAAACCCACCTTTTCTAATGTGCAGGTATATTTTCGCGACGGTCGCTCGTACCTTTAAGAAGGCTTTAAAAAAAAACGGGTCGAGTGCTGTATGTTTGATTGTATGAGAGTCTACACTGAAAAAAAAGTTCTGGTTAAAGTTACTAGATGCGTTTGGTTAAAAAATTTCTAGTTATTTTAACAAGAAAATATAGTTAAAAAGACTAAACAGTTCTAGTTAAATAAGTATGGTTAAATTATTCTGGTTAAAATAATTCTGGTTAAAAACGCGCGTTCGCGGACACTGCATAGCGTCTGTTGTTCTTTTTCGAATAGTTTATCGTGCGGATCACAAGAATGGATGAAAAAGTTAACCAAGCTCTGGAAAATTGGGGTTTGGGAGAATTAAAAGATCTGTTTAAAGGTTGGTTAATTAATTTTATAATATAATATAAGTGAAAAAATTGTTGACGAACGGCAAACCCGTTCGTGTGGAAAATAGTTTGAAGGTTATGTTGAAAACGTGTTCGACACGTTTTATCAGAATTTTAGTTCTGAATAATCATATTTAAATAAACATTATTAAGAGAATTGCAGTGTAAAGGTGTTATTGTTTGATTGCATTTATATGTACATAATACAAATTTTTTTAATTCATATTTTATAATATTTTATAATATAATATAATAATAATAAATTTAATTAATTCTCTGATTAACTAGAATTTCTGGTAAGATCAACCAGAAATTTTTTTACCAAAAATTTTTAACTAGAAAAATTCTAGTAAGATTAACTTGAAATTCTAGTAAGATTAACTTGAAATTCTGGTAAAATTAACCAGAATTTTTTAACCAAATTTTCTAGTACTTTTAACCAGAAAAAGTAGTAAGGGTATATATAACTTTTTATTCTGGTTAGATTAACCAGAATTCTGGTTATTTTAACCAGACTTTTTTTTCAGTGTACTGAACTATATGTGTAAGAACATGTTTTGATGAGTGTAATTCTAACTTTTTTTTTCATGTCCCTTTTGTGTATATATATGATTCAGTGTTGAAGCCTTGGAAACTCACAGCCTTAGGGGTGTGTGTTTGTTGTCGAATTTTATATGCACTTGCAAAAGAAAGTCATACAAACACGTGCGTCTAAACGAGACCACTTTTTTTCCCTCCCCCTCTTGAAAATATAGTGAGATAGCAACGGCTCATGTTTATTACATATATATATATGTGTATCACACATACACTAGTCGTTTTTATTTATTATTATTTTTTTTTTTCAACTACAATCTCGGTGCTATACACGGTATTATGCCACCCCCTGTGCTGCTGACCGTTGGTAATTAAAAAAGAAAAAAAGAGATATATATTCAAGCTCACCCGGGAAAATCTTGACGATTTCTCAAACTCAAAAAAGAACTTGTAATTATTCTCAAGTACCAAGCTTAAATAGTCTAAGGAAACAAAGAAACGAGGTGCTTGTAAAAATAATCGTAAAACACAGGCAAAAATTAATTCTCCTACTTTCACACTTTTCAGACTTGAAAGAAAATGCTTAAAAAAAAAAAGAACACACGATGATATTCGTCTAAGTCTTAAAGACGTTCGAAATGTAACAATTTTTTTTTTGTTTATTTGATTATTTTTACCAAATTTAAAGAGCAATACAATTTTACTTTATATTAAACCCTTTATAATTTAGTCAATTAAAAATTGTTACATTAATTGTAAAATTTAATTTGAAATAATTTTTCTTTTAATAGTAAAAAAGTACTTTTTTGTAAATAGAAATAAATATTTTTATTATTAAATAAAAATATAAATGTTCCATTTTTATGAAATACAAATTCATTAAATGATTTTTAATGATTTATACTCTCTAAATTTGAATCAGTGAAAAAGTCACTGGTCTCAAATCAGTCGCTAAATTCTAGCTATTTGAATCAGTAACATTTCACTGATTTTCAGTCAAAGTAATTGATTCTCCAGTGAAATGTCACTAACTGTCAGTGAAAACTACTGATTTAAATAGCTAGAATTTAGCGACTGATTTGGGACCAGTGACTTTTTCACTGATTCATATTTAGAGAGTAATGTAATAAATAACGAAATTAATTTGAATCGATAGATTGTATATAATATAAATATATTTTACTATACAGTGTGCGTGGAGAAACATTGCGAATGAGTGCGAATTATTATTTAATGTAAATAATAATTTACATGGTATTGAATGTAAATTATTCATTCTACAGTTTAACAAATAAATTTTAAGCATAGAATGAGTTAATTTTAATATGAAAATAAATAATAAAATTTATGTATCAGTGAATGATTAGGACAGCTATATAATATGTTTCTCTCAATATATTTATATGTATAGATAATTAGATATGAAATAGATATATTATAGAATTTCACGTTAAGTAGTGATATTATAATCGGCCTATCAACCTTGTCGGTTGCTCAATGGCAGCGGTGATAGTCCACGCCACATCGATCTGATAGATCGAAAATATTCTTTATTATTTCGTTTTATAAATATACGATGTACATATAAATATAATCAAGATTTTTAGATATAATTTTTAATATCTTTCATTTATTTCGCATTTGAAATCATGACCTTTTATATTCCTTTATATTTTATTTTTTACACATAATTTTTAATAATCATAATAATAATATTTAATATTTGGTTATAAAAATACACATTTTCTTCAAAATGCAAAATTATAGAATTTAATTTGTCGAATTTTTAATTAAATAATATTAATTATATTATTAATTTCAACAATTCGAAAATTAGTTTTCTAATGTCTCATTTCCAATTTCTAATACTCTTAAAACAATATTGTAATATTAATTATAATTACTGATATAAATATTATAATTATTATTATAATTATATATATATATATATATATAACTGTAATAACTGCGCATCTAAATTTTGCAAGCAAAAATTCTTGAATTTTTTTTTATTAATGAAACTATTATACTTGACGAGAAAATAGAACAGTGCATATTTTACACGTTTCAGCGTAACATTATTTTCAAAATTATACATTTATGCGTAAACGTAATGAGCACAATCTAATTTAAAATCCAGGTTACCCATATTCACTTTATTTTTTAACTTTTTTTACACCTGCAGGTATGGAAAAATACGATAATTGTGCATTGAATATACAAAAAAATATTTTTAAATATATACTACCCATATGTAATTAGTTTATTTACACTAGAATAGTTTTAAATGTTAACTATAGTACAATTTAAATTTAAATTAATTTTATTTATCAGATTTTAGTTTAAGTGGAAAAAGAAGGAAAATAAGGTTTTTTTTTAAATATATATTCTTTACTTTACTAACTAAAAGAAGAAATAATATTATTTTAAAAAAAGATGGTAATAAAAAATATAAGCAGAAATACTTTAATAATTTCAGGTAAGTGATAATAAAAAAGTAAAATAGACTTTGTTAATTAATATTCACAGAATTTATTATAATTATATTAAGAAATTTTTTAACCTCCAGAGAAAAAATAAATTTTATTTATGCTGAATAAAATTTTATTTATACTAAACAAAAAATTTTTTTTTTGAAAAAATAAATACATTTGCTTATCACAAAGAAAAATGTTGTTCTTTTCATATTTAATTGATAATTATATTTGGGTTAAATTAAAAATTTCCTTGTTTGTAATTCAAGATTAATAAGTTTTTTTAATATCTTCAAAAAGCTTTTTGCTTTGTTTTGAATTTTTTATTTTTCTCTCGAATAATAATGTTTCTTTTGGAAATTAATTCATTTTAAAGAATTCTTAATCGACCTAAATCAATACAATTCATATTTCGAAAATATTTACACACAATTTATCAAAAAAGTTGAAGTGTTCCGTGCTACTCAACTCTTCTGCAATTTTTTTTTTTTTCATTGTAAACAATATTATTATTAATATTAAGAAACTTTGTAGAATAACTAAAGAAAACTGGAAAAAACTTTTCTCAATTCCAAGTTAATGGAAAATTTAAAAAAATAAATAAAAAAATATGTTGAGTAAACTTCACAGAGAAAAAAGAATTGTTGTGGTTACTAAAAATTAAGTCCACACAACAATTCCAGATTGTCAAAATATAGAACCAGCAGTTCTATTTGTTTTTGGGACAAAAAAAATTGTTAAAATGGGTTTATTATTAAAACTATTCGGATTGTTCGATGAACAAAGAAAATTGTTATGAAACAGTTGAAATAACAAAACTAAATTGTTAAATCGGCAATACAATTTGTTGTATTAACAAAGCTTTGATCCGTCTAATACAATTTGTTCAGTTTTTTTGCCTTCTAAAATAATTGATAGCAGATTTCCGAATCAAATACAGTTATAACTGTACGGAATTACAAAACTAACAACAAAAAATTCGTAATGTTGTTAAAACAACATACATTTGTATTGACAACAATCCGAATTGTAATTTTAACATTTCGAATTGTAATATCAATAAATCTACTGACAACAAACCAAAAATTGTTTGCACAACAATCCCCTTTTTCTCCGTGTTGGCTTAATTTCATCTCGATATAATTTATAACAAGTTTTCTTTGATGTCGTCCACAGATATTGTAAAATATCTTTTAAATAAAAAAAATTGAAAATGATTTTATTTTAAAGAAGAAACAAGGAGTAAATTTTCTTTTCGTACTAAAGGTTATTTCATCAAAGAAAAAAATAATAAATAATTATAATTCAAAATGTAGAAACAAATTATTTTTAAATCTCTTTTTTAATAGGAGATTTTTATGAATTAATAATATAATATATAATAATAATAATAATAATTCAGTCGAGAAATAAGGTAAAAAGAAAAAGCTGAAAAAATAAAAATGAAAAAAAAATAAAATGTAGTTTTAATCACTTTGTTTATAATAGACTGCTGCCTCCTCTCTTTTGACGTTTGGTTGAACAGATGGGGACTCATTATCTACCTTGTCGCTTCTGCAGATTAGAAAAGGTTATCTTGGATGAGAAACTCGTGATTAAGCACCCGTCGCTTCGATGTTGCAGCAAAAATTGCAAGTGTCAATAACACTATTCAGTTTCGAGAGAAAATCTCCGGAGAAAAGATAAGATTTATCTCTTTTTTTTCTTTTTCTCGATTTTATTCAACGCAGATTTGTTCTACAAACGTATTTTTTGTTAAAAAAAAAGAAAACAATATATCGAGAAAGAAAAAGAAAAGAGGACCTAAAAGGAAAACGAATTATATATAATACAAACAGAATACAATTAATCAGGATTTTATTTACTTGTGATAATAGACGTACAAATTTATTTCTCTTTACAAAAAAAAAAAAAAAAAAAAACCCCCGATGCATTCTTTTATCAAAGAGAAATTTTATAAATAAAGCAATATCATGATC